GAGGCAGGGGGGGCTTATCTAAAAAACAAAAAATGACCTAATCCGCAACCCGTTCCCCGGGCCTCATCCCCCCTCCGAACAACAGGCGAGGGTACTGCCACTTGCGCCAGCCACGGTGTTGTCGGCATCGAGTCCTCGAACAAGAAAGTGTGTTGCGATTTGCGATGCGGAACCTGCGGGGGGGTCGGGTGCTCCAAGTTCGGCGAGGCGTATGGTCTCGGTGAATCCTCCTGCTGTGCAAGCACGTGAGCATGCATTTCTCGCTCAGTTTCTAGTACCCCCCCCCCCCCCTTTTTTGTGATTCCATGGATGGTGCGGAGAACTGTGGTCAGTGTGATAGATATTTCAGGAAGGTGATGGGAAAAAAGGTGTTGATGGCCGAGCCCTATAGAATACTACGGCGATCTAGTGTCGCCAGAACCGTCAAGTCTTGCACTATCTATGTTGTAGACATTGCACCGATATTGCGATGCGACCGCTAACCTCCCCCCCTGCCCCCATGCCACCATCGACGATATCTACGATTTTTTGTTGCAGGATCACTGATGACGGCGAGTCATGCGCTGTCACCGGGATGGCCCCTTGCTTCATCGACAGCGGTAAGCATTGTCTCGCTCGGTTTCCTTCTAGGCAGGCGGTCGGGCTTCGTGCACGACACACCACACCGCTTTACAAATAAATTGCGCTCGCTAGACGTTAATCACCGTGATTGATTGTTAGCGGGTCTCCCCTGGCTTTCACATTTAATCGTGACGCCTCATGTAGTTCCGCGTTTCGTGTTCATATGACACATGAGTCACAACCGTAGTCCTCAATCACGAGGATGCGGTCTGTACACAGTCCTCGTTCTCCTTTCGTTCCTCAAACTATGATAAGCGTCGACCTCTTCTCTTCACCACCATCCCTGATGGAGACACACACTAACTTGTCTTGTGGTTCCCTTGTTTCTTGTCTCATCTAGACGACGACTCGAGCGACGACTCGAGCGACGACTCGAGCGACGACTCGAGCGACGACTCGAGCGACGACTCGAGCGACGACTCGAGCGACGAATCCGGTAAGTGTGCCGAATGTTTGGGGCGTAGTCTAGTGTGACCAAACGTTCTGTGTTTCACGTCTCAATGTGCGAACCGTGTTGCAGGGTTTCCAGCATTGAATATAACCCCCGTCATGGATATGCAGCTGAGGATTCACATATAAACACGAAATGACCTAATCCGCAACCCGTTCCCCGGGCCTCATCCCCCCTCCGAACAACAGGCGAGGGTACTGCCACTTGCGCCAGCCACGGTGTTGTCGGCATCGAGTCCTCGAACAAGAAAGTGTGTTGCGATCTGCGATGCGGAACCTGCGGGGGGGTCGGGTGCTCCAAGTTCGGCGAGGCGTATGGTCTCGGTGAATCCTCCTGCTGTGCAAGCACGTGAGCATGCATTTCTCGCTCAGTTTCTAGTACCCCCCCCCCCCCCTTTTTTGTGATTCCCTGGATGGTGCGGAAAACTGTGGTCAGTGTGATGGATGTTTCAGGAAGGTGATGGGAAAAAAGGTGTTGATGGCCCAACCCTATAAAATACTACGGCGATCTAATGTCCCCAGAACCGTCAAGTCTTGCACTATCTATGTTGTAAACATTGCACCGATATTGCGATGCGACCGCTAACCTCCCCCCCTGCCCCCATGCCACCATCGACGATATCTACGATTTTTTGTTGCAGGATCACTGATGACGGCGAGTCATGCGCTGTCACCGGGATGGCCCCTTGCTTCATCGACAGCGGTAAGCATTGTCTCGCTCGGTTTCCTTCTAGGCAGGCGGTCGGGCTTCGTGCACGACACACCACACCGCTTTACAAATAAATTGCGCTCGCTAGACGTTAATCACCGTGATTGATTGTTAGCGAGTCTCCCCTGGCTTTCACATTTAATCGTAACGCCTCATGAAGTTCGCTTTCTAGCGTGTTTCGTGTTCATGTGACATCTATCTGAGTCACAACCGTAGTCCTCAATCACGAGGATGCGGTCTGTACACAGTCCTCGTTCTCCTTTCGTTCCTCAAACTATGATAAGCGTCGACCTCTTCTCTTCACCACCATCCCTGATGGAGACACACACTAACTTGTCTTGCGATTCCCTTGTTTCTTGTCTCATCTTCTAGACAACGAATCGAGCGACGAATCGAGCGATGAGTCCAAGGACGAATCCAACGACGAATCCGGTAAGTGTGCCGAATGTTTGGGGCACAGTCTAGTGCGACCAAACATTCTATTTCACGTCTTAGAAATGAGCGAACCGTGTTGCAGGGTTTTCCCGCGTTGAATACAACCAACCCCGTCATGGACACGCAGCTGAGGATTCACATATAAACACGAAATGACCTATTCCACAACCCGTTCTCCGGGCCTCATCCCCCCTTCGAACAACAGGCGACGGTTCGGCCACGTGCGCCAGCCACGGTGTCGTCGGCATTGAGTCCTCGAACCAAAAGGCGTGTTGCGATGTGCGATGCGGAGCCTGCGGGGGGGTCGGGTGCTCCAAGTTCGGCGAGGCGTATGGCCTCGGTGCTTACGAATGTTGTTCCAACGAGTGAGTACAAATTTCTCGCTCAGATTTTATTCTCTCTCCCCCGCCCCCCTTTGTGTTTCCATGAATGATATGGAGAAGGGTGGTGAGTGGGACGGGTTATTCTGGACGTTGATAGAGAAGAGAGAGAGGTGTTGGCGGTCGAGCCCGATCGAATACTACTGCGATCTACGGTAGTGTTTCCAGCACCGTCAGATCTTGTACTTTGCTGGAGACCTTGTACAGTACGTGGTGCAATCGCTAACCTCCCCCCTGCGCCCATTCCACTACCGACGACATCAACGAACTTTTATTGCAGCATCGTTAGAGAGGGCGAGTCCTGCGCTGCCACCGGGATGGCCCCTTGCTACATCGACAGCGGTAAGCATGGTCCTGCTCGCTTTCCTTCTTGGCAGACGGTCCGGATTTCGTGTGCATGTGACGTCTGAGTCACAACCAATCGTAGATAGTCCTCCTCCCCTTTCGTTCCTCACGCTATTGGAAGCATCGAATCCTCTCTTCACCATCCAGCCCTGATGGAGACACAACACTTGTCGCGGTTGCGATTCCCTTGTTTCTTGTATCATCCTCTAGACGACGAATCGGACTACGAATCGAAGGACGAGTCGAAGGACGAATCCAAGGACGAATCCACCGGCGAATCCACCGACGAATCCGGTAAGTGTACCGAAAGGTTGAGGGCATAGTGCCACGAAATGTTCTATTCACGTCTCAGAGATGGAGGAAGCGCCGTACTTGTCGGCGCTATGGTAAGCCCGTTCAATGTACCATCGCACAACGGCAGGGTCTCGGTGTGACCGTGCTGCAGGGTTTTCCCGTCGGTTGACTACAACGAACTGAGCGACCACATACTATTACCTAATCCGCAAACCCGTTCCCCGGGCCTCATCCCCCCTCCACACAACAGGCGAGGGTACGGCCATGTGCGCCAGCTACGGTGTAGTCGGCATTGAGTCCTCGAACCAAAAGGCGTGTTGCGATGTGCGATGCGGAGCCTGCGGGGGGGTCGGGTGCTCCAAGTTCGGCGAGGCGTATGGCCTCGATGCTTCCTACTGCTGTTCCAACGAGTGAGGATGAGTTACACGTTCAGTCATTTTTCTCCCTCCTTTCCCCCCCCTGTGTTTCCATGAATGGTATGGAGAAACGGTGATCAGTGAGACGAGTTATTCAGGACGTTGATAGAGAAGACAGAGAGAGGTGTTGGTGGTCGAGCCCGATCGAATACTACTGCAATCTATTTATAAAATACAGTAAACTGCCCGCGGGTGTGGTAACCCGCCGGTGTCGCCAGGACCGTTATATTTGTCTATGCTGGAGACCTTGCACCAGTATTGTGGTGCGACCGCTAACCTCCCCCCGGCGCCCATTCCACCACCGACGACATCAACGTTTTTTTGTCCGCAGAATCGTTGATGACGGCGAGTCATGCTCTGCCACTGGGATGGCCCCCTGCTTCATGGAAAGCGGTAAGCATTATCCCCTTTCGGTTTCCTTCCAGGCAGGCGGTCGGGCGTTGTGCCCGACACACCACTTTCTTTCCAAATTTTTGTTCACCAGTATGCCGGTGGCGATTTTGATTATGTGCGGGTTTCCTACTGCTTTAATGTTACGGTTCCATCTTTTGGGGCGGAGACTAATTCGGGTAGGTGCTGCAGTAAAACCTTCAAGTTGAAGTTGAGGTACCAGGCGATGTTCGCAAACAAATGAACGGATGAGAGCGCGAGGTCGGCAACGCACGGCGCCTTATTTAATGCTTCTTCCTCGTCGTGTTTCGCGTGCATGCGTGTGACATCTGAGTTACGGCAGTAGTAGTGCTCGCTCGCGACACTGGCTGTGGGTCGCCCCCGTGTGCTTCTTTCTATTATCCTCAAAACTAAGCGTCGACTCTTCTCTCTACCTTCCCGCCCTGACGGAGACACTCTTGTGACTGCTGGTACCGTTCCCTTGTTTGTTCTCTCATCCTCTAGACGACGACTCGATCGAGGATATCGTGGCGCCCGCTTCCGACGATGGTGAGTTTTCCGGTCTGTAGCGTGGGGTAGCAAGCGCATGATACCGAGGGCTACGGGTGTACGTAAAGATACGTCGGCCTGGAACCTGTTGTTTATTTCGGTGGCATGTCGTTTGGCTACCGTAAGTCTGGTCTCGTGCTCGCACTTCTGCCTGGTAATGGACAATACCAACGTCAAGAAGCCCACGGTAGTCCTACAACATGTCATGCCCATCGCGGGAGCGTTGGCGTGTTGCAGATCAGATGAAACACGGGCTGGTCACTGGTACCCCAGCAACCCTCTTTCCCCCCTCTTTAAGCATCCGGAAGTAGTCTATGCGATCAGTTTTCTAGTCTTCCTTCGAGAAGCAAACGGCATTCTGTGCCCAATTCCGTCGCGAGCAAGAACTCTCTCTCCCGGTCGTAAAAAGAGTCTTTATCACGGTGCGCGATGAAGCCCCCAACCAGTGGCGTTCGTGCACGTACCCTGCGCATGTTTCTTCGACTGCGCAGCAAGCCGGCAGGCCTCCCCCCTCCCCGTCCCACTGCTCTTCCGCCTCTTTCCAAAATTTCACCCGAAGGACAGCGAGCGGTAGTTTCTAATGCTTCGTACGACCCCCGCCCTCGTTCACTCGCAACAATCGTGGGAAAAAAAAAACAGGCGGCGCCCCGTCTTGCAGCATGGACAGCCTCAACGACGCGGACCAGCAGCAGCTAGCCCTGTACGACAACGACATGTACCTCGAAGATGACTGCGTCAACGATTCCACCCCGCTTCCCCTCGGCTGCAACTACATGGGTCTGGGCCAGGAGTGCCGCGGGTGCTTCCTGGTGAGTTAGTTGTGGATATCGCGCCTTTTCATGCTGAAATACTGTCAAGGTACACTGTTTGGCGAGCGAAAATATTCGCCCCCGGTGCGACTATTACTATTCGCATCCATCCGCATGTCGACAGTCAAAGAATCGCTCGGAATGCGGCTCTAATAATAGTGTACGTGATTCAACAATCACGGCCGGCCGCTCTCCCCGCCCCCGCGCCTCCCTGTCCGGTATCGTGGTTGTTTCAGACCTGCGCTGGTGCGCTCACGTACATCGACGACAAGGCCGAACACATCCTAGAGTATGTGAGTCAATCAGCTTGAAAGGCCTGTTGAGGTCGATCATTGCTTGTTGTATTTCGGGTTGCGTCCCTGTAGTTCGATTCGTTCATCTGACGCTGTCGTCGCAGGTGTGTATTTCAAAAGTACTGAGATCTTCATCGGGGGGAGAGATGTGCACTGCTGCCGCTTGCTGCGCTGCTCCAGTCCTGCACTGCTCCAGTCCTGCACTGCCTGGACCTCGAGAAAGATAGAACGAATTTCAGGCTGACACGATCTACCCGTGATTCACGCATGTTTGTAGGCATGATCTACCCGTGATTCACGCATGTTTGTAGGCATGATCTACCCGTGATTCACGCATAGTTGTAGGCATTGGTCCTCGTCAGGGTGCTGTTAGGATGTTTGGCAAAACGAAAGTCATCTTTCGATTCATGATGAGCCTACCCACAATACACGATAACATGCCCTAAAAAAAATAACGAAAGCGAACGTTTTCTCATGGTTTAGCGTTCCTCTTCGCTTGGAACAAATAATTTTTTCGGTCCCTACCTAAGATTCCTGCTTCTTCGTACGCCACTAGCCCGAAGGCGAAAGCTGTTTTTGGTGTCGTTATCCGTTTTCCTTCGCACGCACCTCGTCGCGTCCACATACTGTAGAATCGCCGTTACATTTGCCACCTCCCACAACTGAGATATTTTGAGTCACCCACCTCCCACCACTGAGATATATATGCATATTTATGTGCAATACAACGCCAGGCTTGACCTCTTCACCTGCTGCCTTGCTACCAACAAAATGAACGAACTAAACCCAAAACACACAGGGCGAGGACGCTGTCATCAATTTCTGCCCACAGTCTGAGGTGAGCGACCTGGCGGAATGCCACAACTGACGATGCTCTTCCTTCAACGTGGTGGTTTACGACCGACTTCTCCTGGGCTGCGGCGGACAGGCCCGAAGACGATCAGCCCTTGTTGGGTCCCCGACCTAGAGAGAAGGGTTGCAATCGACTCAAAGGAGGGTAGTAATGTAATATACTCTTTGTGCGTATTTTCAGCCTGGTTGTTTGCGATCGATTCCAGGGGTGCGGCCGACATGGATGGCTGAAAAAAATGCGAACGTTTTTCTGGGTCCCCGACAGAGAAGACGAGGTTTGGGATCGACGCATAAGAACGGAAGTTTGCAGAATTGTTGTATGATAAGTCTTGTTTTTGTATAATGTCTTTGTTGTTTACGTGCTGGGGTGTTAGGCGGTGCGCAATCTATGTAAAAATGTTTGTTTTCGCTTGTTTGTTTGTTTGTGGATGCCGTGGGGTGTATTGAGGTCGTTTAGAGGTTGGAACTTGGATGTCGCGGTGCAGTTGATACAATGAAGGGTATCATCCCGGTATCACCGTCTGAGGAAGCTTGTTACTCCTTAAACGCGTGTGCGTGTGTGTTGGCTGAACGGGAGGGAGGTTCAAGGTAGAGAATGTTGGGAATAGATAAAACGTCTACCGCACGAGATGGGACGACGTTGTACCCCGACAATATAGTAAACGTCGGCAAGTCCGCCTTAAGACGTTTGCCTAGTTGGACGCTCGAATCGGTTTCAATTCCTGCACCACTTGCGGGTGAGAGAAGGTTTGCGGCAGGCACTGTTTCGTCGGCGCGCTCGAGCGTGAGCAGTGTTTGTTGATGAACATTGCAATAACTGCGGGGATTCGACGGCCTTCATTTTTTCTTTGCCTCAAGGCGACCGGATCTAGGTGGTGCGTTCTTGCGAAGAACACTGACTGAGGCCGTAGGCCGATTGTACGCCGACGAGGAAGAAGTCTGTCTCTCTTCCAATGCTATCATCATCGCAGGCCTCGACAACGAAAACGCTCGCGCGCGCGAACGGCGCTCAAAACTTGCATTCATTCTTGTCTTGTTCTCGAAATCGTTGTCAAGTTCACCTCTTTTCGAGATCCGCCTGCCTGCCTAGAAGCAAGCGCAGGGTTTGGCCAATATATCTTGCCGTCAGCGTCTAGAGCAACAAAAGCGTGAGCCGAGATAATATCGATCTCCTCTATGAATACGTACATACGTGTTTCAAACGCGAGAATCACGCCAAACAGGGCGAAAAGAAACTATCTACCGCCTTAAAAACAAGTCTATTTGTACAGCTTCGACTCGAACGTGCGACATCTCATTCGACAAAACAAACAAACAAGAGGGAGCTCGAACGAAACCAGGCACGGCGAAGAAAAAAGGACGACGCTCTGTCTCTCATTTCACCGCAAAAACTCCCCCCGCACCAAGAAAGCCGCCAAAACGAAGAAAGAGAGGGCCACAAACATTTGAGACTTCGCAGCACAGCAGTCCGTGCGCGCGCACACGCACAACAGGAGGAAACCGTTTCCAGACTAGTAGGAACGAACGGTAGATGCTACAATCAATCAGCGTCGAAACGACAGATGATCGACGAACGTCTACGAAGAAGATAAAGATCCCGATGAGGTTGCAACTTTGCCGAACGAGGTGCCCAACTAGCATTCCTCCAGGAGTTCCACCTCAGCGTCGGGGCAGAAGTGGACGATCGCGTCTACTCCCTGTTTCGGACAACGTTTTGCATGCATGCAGCAGGTGGAGAAAAATGCAAAACAAACAAAAGCGCAAATAAATAAACTTGTCGCCGCAATTTTTTTGCAATGCCTCCAAGACGTGAGTGAACGAACGTGCGTGCGTGGTGGATGATTGCGGCGTTGGATCGATGAGACACCCAACCCTTATTCAGTCCTACCAACACTGGGGTCTTAACTACCCTAGATTGGAGTCTTTTCGCGTTCTGCTGTCACTTCCATCTGGTCCAAACACAACCGACGGGGAAACAAGCCTCCGTATTAAGGCAGGTTAACCGAAACCAGGCGACCCAGATGTAGATATCTCTCCATCCAGGATAGACCTCATAAAGAACAGCATTCATTCATTGTAAGGGGTTTGGCTTCGAAGGATTTTTCTCCCGCTGTTCCTTTTTCCGGTTGAATGTTCATTGGCTTCGTTTGCATCGATCGGCGTTCTCGCAGTCGTCAGGGAACCCACTGGATCAATACTCCGTACAAAACAACATGTCGCTTCACAGAAAGAATTGCAACCAACAGCACAACCTTCTCGCGATACAATCACCGTCGATCGACTCACCCACACGGAGATCTCCTCAGCGAAATCATCGAGGTACCTGGTGGCGCCGTCGCAAGTCTGAAACGGAAAAAGCGCGACGGGCAATCAATCGGATACCGGATAGAGGGGGGTGGGCAAGAGATGAAAGACAACTTCTACTGGGTGGGGTGGAAATTCGGTACGATTGATTGTGGTACATGCTTTCGATTTTGCTGTCGCGGAGGGCAAACGTGCATCGGAGGTTGTCATGCTGGTTCACAAGGAAGGTTAACGCAACAAACAACGTACGTACGCATCTACACAGAGCTGTTTCGGGCTTTCTGGCAGGGCGAAAATGAATGTTGAATGTTAGATAGATTGGAAAACAACTTACCAGAAGAGCCCCACCAAAATAAGAACATCAAGCGCTACACTCTATTTCATCGCTATTTTTTCCTGGACTCATATCTATCTATCTATTTATCTATTTATGGGCATTAATAGAGACCGATCGACGTTGTTCGCGATGTTTCTGTAAGAAATAAGTTTGTAATGAAAGAGCAGGTTTTTCTGTTGCCGCTGAGAGTCACTGAATGTCCGCTGCTAGAGGGCATCAACACATGTATCCCGCCACGATCCCCTTTGACGACGGCGATTCATTTAATTTGTCCTTCCTTTCCCTTAACCGCGTTCTGTGGCAATTTTCTGCAAAAAATACTTCTCGCAACCAAAACTCACCATGAAGCAACCGCGGCACTCCTGTCCCAGACCCATGTAGTTGCAGTGGACGGGCATGGGGGAGGCGCCATTGACGCAGTCGGGCTCAAGGTAGAGGTCCTTGTCGTACATGGACAGCTGCTCCTGGGCGGCGTCGGAGAGGGAAGATACGATGCACTCCTCTGCCTTTACGCCTGAACGTTTGTAGGTTTTCACGAATTATCGGGGGGGGGGGCGGGGGGGGGGGAGCAGAGGCGATTTAAACAATAAGCAACCGAAACGAACAGTCTCTGGTTCGTGCTCTGTTTGAAGTGCAAGATATAGTCATTCATTATTATTGTAGATGCTGCCCACCGGAGGCCGGACGTCTGCCAACCTTTGCACAGTCTAGAATACTCAGATGCATCACGGCTGCCAGCAACGACAAATTCCTTCGCGAGAGACGCACACAAATAAACAAGTCAATGCCCGAATTCAGAAAGCGGTAGGAAGCTGTTGTGTACGCTTCAGACCTACACCCACCTGTCTGTCTGAACAGATGGGTTTGAATACAACAAACTATTGGCTACGGTAAGCGGCTCTTTTTGAAGACTGACTAAGAAGGCTAACTGTGTCAGCGAGGTGCAAGTTTAAAGTGTGATGAGTGTTTAACTATTAAGTAGGATCGCGCTGTTATCCGGCTGACCAATGAAGATATACGTCCGTCACGTCCGTCCGTCTTTTTAAGCGGGGTCGGGACAAAACAAAGTATGTATGTGTATGTATGTATGTATGTATGTATGTTGTATGTATGTTGTATGTATGTTGTATGTATGTATGTCGATCGGTGGTCGGGACAACACAGACGGTATTAGTTTTGCCGTTCACCCGTCGATCGGTCGTGTACGCCATCTACTTGAATTCATTCACACGGACGGGGGACGGACTCTTTTGCGAGATTCTTCTACGGCTGTATTGTGATGAAGGGAACGATTTCGCACGTCGCCTTCTTGGTGTGGGGTGGGGTCGGACGCACTTGAGTCTGCTGTCTTAGGTTTTGCACGGAGGGCCGTTGACACTTGATTGACCGTTCACACGGAAACACCGTTTAGACTTGACTGCATGCTGAGGAGAATAATAATAAGAAGAGGGTTCGATCGACACGCACACACTCGTTGTTTTGACGTAAAGATACCGGAGTCTGCTGTCCTTGCGTGCCTGACAGACTCGTTTCCACCAGTCAGTGCACGCGTCGCAAGTGATCATGCGAACCCTAAACAGTACGCCCCAAACACACAGATAGGACACCGTTTGGCACAAATTTCTCTTGTTGTGCACATGCGTGCTGTTGATTACTGCCTCTCTCGCAAACCTACGCACAACAACCATGAACCTTTGTGCCCAGTGATGACCGCAGCACGATCCACACGTTAGACGCGAGGTCGAGCGTCGAGCGTACCAGAAGCTATAGGAAGAGAGGGTGATGTCGATGCGCGGGGGGTTGTTCCCCTGCCTACTGTTGAATGTAGACGAGATTGAAAATCACACGCGGATCGGGCAAAGCACAAACAAACATCATCATCATCTCACGTGCGAAGCTGAGGACGGCGAAGATGATAGCAGCCGGGTGGGAGAAGATCTTCATGGTGTGTGTCTATGTAGCGGCAGAGATCTTGTGCAGTGTTGTTGTCGAGCTTGGAGCTGAGAGCGCGAGGATCTTGGATGGGGCGAGAGGGATAGAGACGCTGAAGTGGTTGTGCGCTGCTGTCTTTCTGTGCCGGGGCTGCTGTGTGTGGTCGTACACCTGTGGGCGCAGAGAGCAATCAATATCTTGTCTTGTAAAACGGAATAATTAATTGACTGACCTTGCATCTTGCTTACATGAGATGCCACAATATATATATTTTTCAATATTTTTCATCACTGCTGTCTGGTGCGCAGACGTGCATGATGAGTAAAACGGAATAATTATGGCTACCTGGTCTACCTGCGAGCTGCTACTACCTGCTCGCATACTATACGTACGTACGTACAATATCATCCTTTACCGGGTGTGTGGTGTTAAATGTAAAACGGAATTTATACACGTCATGTATAGAGACTACAGCATGCATATTGATGTATTCTGCCGACAAAGTAGCAGGTACAGCACGCTTTCCGTTGCATTCTATGTGTTGTCCATTATTAGACAATCTAGTCTAATAATCGATCAATGTACATATTGTCCCGGTTCCCGGTGGGCTGTTGACGTCGCTACGTCGTTGATAAAAAAAACATCATACATACTGTTGCAGACAAGTATGGTGTTGTACTACTGCCTGATGTTATTATTCTTCTTGCATCTACCTCGTCACTACTACTATCATCGCCGCCTCGAAGCTGACAGCTGTGTGGAATTTGTCCCATCACGGATACATCAGTCTGTAGATAGATGCAGGCCGCTTTCCTTTGTTCTCCTTGATTGACTTCTTCCACTAATTATTTTGTGCTCTCCTACCTATCGCCCTATGAATTGTGTATTACACATGCAGCCTAACACACCCTTGGAACCGCGCACACCAACAGAAGGGCACATGACTCCGCATAAAGCCGGAATCTTGCGTGACGCCAAACATCGCACAACCATCTAATGACGCCGAGTAACCATGGTAAAATGCACCATCATCTATTTTTTTTGTTCTTCACTTCAAATCAGCGCTCACAGCACTAGTGCCGTTTATTCCGACCCGTGGTCACACAGAAGAGTCCCTCTCCACCCTCCCCTCCTGCGGTACTTTGCCTACCATTCTTAAAATGCGAGAAGAGTTCAGCACTCTCTTCCATCATATGGCTACCTCCAAACCCTAACAATAGTGTACCTCGAGTGGTTGTTGTGTAGCTGATGGTGATGCTGACACAGAAGAAGCAAAGCCCCGGAGGGGCTCTCTTCAGTCAAGAGGTTTACTTAGGGGATGGATCGAAGATGCAGCAACTGAAAACCCTCACCCGCACCCCGACACGTTGGTAGCGAACAAAACCAAGGAAGGAAGCGGAACAAAGTAGCCAAAGTCGGAAAAGGGCACAGCAGTGGGTGCGGAATAAAATCCCAAAATAAGCAACACCCGATTCGAAAGACGAAAAGAAGACCATCATCACCAACGAAGAAGGTAAGCGAACTCTCGCAAAGGAAATATCACGAAAGATCTCGAACGCACGAACAGGCCGAACACTCAACTAAGTAGGCCAAACCTGCACGGGAGTCCTGCCGACGACACCAGGCAGTGTTACTGTTGTGGTGTGAATTGCACCTCTTCACTATTTATCACCTCCAAGCTGTGTGAAACTTGTCCGACGACAGAAAGAGTACGGGCTGCCTTCCTATATGTTCTAAGCTCTCCTCTCGCCTTCTTGCAAGTACACGATGCAGCCGGAAATCCAACACAAACAAACCAAGAACGCGCACCAAACAGGAGGGCACATGACTCCGCACAAAGCCGGAATATTGCATGACGTCATAGAGCACAACATCTCAACCATGGCGTAACGCATCATCACCATATGGCTACCTCCGAATGCCACAAAGAGTGGAACTTGCCACCCAAAATCAGTTGAATCAAACAACGCTGTCGATGCTCAAGAGGCGGGCAGCCTGGCAAGCAATAACCTGTGGCTGTTGCTGAGCGTAGCAATACTGCCGGTCGAATGGTTGCCATCGCCCGGTATAACGTCGGTGAAACTGCGGGACATTGATGGAATATTCGAGCTGTCTCATTCCCCGAATAGTGATATTGTACTCAGTAGATAGTGCCGGGTTCCCGGTATCGTGCCATCGGTGAATCTGTCGGGCACATACCGGCACTTGGGGAGCCTCACTTAAGCAGTACAGTAGTACCACCCCTGCTGTTACTGTCGCTTCCTTGCCGCAAATAAAGAGTTGCCTCCCCCCCTTCTTTACTCTTACACTCCGAACTCTCAACGCTCGGCTCATAGGTTCCAATGTACTTCAACTTTTCTCGGAAGAAGACGACGGGGGCCCGGGCGTCGAGGTATGTATTCATTCGCATCCTACTGCCTTCCTCTCCTACCCGCAGACAGGCAGGAGAAAACGCACATAGACTACATCCTCACACTGAGAGCAGACCTCGGTCTCTCCGTAAAATCCGCGACAAATCCGCGACGACTCTGCCCAACCTGCCGCCGTCATCATCAACCTCTATGTTGGCCAAAATATTTTGGTCCGCAGAATTTTGGGGCTCAAGTTCGGGTTTTGCCCCCGGTTTGGCGCAGTTTCACGTGTCGTCGCCGACGTCGACCGTAGTGTAGGATCCACCACTCATCACCGAGAGAAGTGGAGGGACGTCCGACGCCGAATTCTTCCAACGCCGTGTACAAAAAAAAAAAAAGTTTCACAACACCGTAAGATAACACACGAGTGGGCACGGCACGGAGTCTGACAGCAAACGGGGGTGACCCTGATACACGTCAACGTATGTACCTCCGGCTATACACACGAACGAGAAAAAGAAACATTTTTCTTTGCTAGTAAAATCTCTACAGGAAAGGGGGACAGCGCTATATGTACAAAACTCATGCACCCAGAGAATGAGAGTCGGCGGCCGAAAACGCCCGGTCGCCACACATCAGAACCACACCAAACCGCCGCAAGACTGATCTTCATGCTACTCAAGTCGCGAAATGAATGTCTCCACCCGGCCGACTCTGAAGAAACGCACGCTCCGAGAGCTGACGAGAGAAAACGCGTCAAAAGACGACAAACACACAAAAATTGACTCTATTAAGTAAGATGGAACAAACGTGACAACACTCGACGACATATAACACGCATCCAACACCCCCCCATCACAACACCATCAGTGACGATACTTGAGCCGATCCCAGAACTCGCACATGCAATCCCGCTGGGCCTCTCGCGTCTCCGGGCGAGCCTTAATCTCCAAGAAGTACGGCCCACCCTGCCACGACCCCCCCGCCGCCCCCGCCCCCGCCCCCGCCGCAGCCGTGGGGCTCGCCTGCGACCACGCGTCCGCGAACACGTCGGAGAAGGAGCCCTTCCCCACGCCCCCGTGGCCCGAGGCGAGCAAGGCGGCCATCGCTGCCGCGCCCGCGGTGTTCCCCTGCGCGGTCAGTCGGCGTCCCTCCCACGCCGGCCACACCACGGGCGCGTTCGCGCTGTTTGGGTCTCCCGCCTAGTTGGGGGGGTTGGGGGGGTGGGGCGGAATAGGGATTTTCGTTGAAGGAGGGTTGACCTCTGAATGTCCCCGGTGGTGAAAAGCGCATGGAATGGTGGTTTGGAAAGGTTTCTTCCTCATGACTGCTGTGCGTTTTGACGGTAATTTTCGACGGCTGTCATTTATCAGGAGTGTCCGGTAAGGGTGATTTCCAGAAAAGTGCTCCTCGCGTAGATAGTGCCTCAAAAAAATAGTGTGTGACAACCTCCTGTGAAAAACTTCTGCGTGATACAGTTGCAAAGGGGCTGGGATCAGAACCAAACACGACGGCGACAATAACCAGCAGCGACAACAAAAAAAAAACAACGAACGACGGAACCGAAGCCCTTCCATGCGTGACAATGGGATGGTTGATCAAGGGCACCAACCCCGTGCTTTGCCTCGGGAGAGAGCATCAAAAGTAAAAAAAAAAACTTCGTCGTCACCTTGCCGAAGCTCGCCCAATAGGTCACCATCGCCTCCGCAACAAGCATGTCCGCCTCGGCGGCCTCGTGGACGCTCGGCCGCCTCGGTTCCTTCGGGGGCGCCGCCGAATCACCCCCCCCTCCTTCCTCCGAACGCGCCTCTTCGACGTCGTCGCTACCGCCGGCGCCGCCGCCCCCCGCCATCGCGGCGCAGCTGCTCCCTCCGAGCCCCCGCTCACCCGCCCCGGGGACACTACCGCTGCTGGTTCTGCTCACGCTGCTACCGTTGTCAGTGTCGATGTCTCGTCGCCTGACGGCTCCCGGTCCGCCTTCGGCCTCCGCCATCGTTTCGGAGTGCCCCGCCGCATCAGCGTCGTCGCCTCCCCCCCTTCTGCCGCCCACTCCTAGGGTTTCCTCGGAATTCGCACGCCCTGATGACTCCCCCCCCGTGAGTGCCTCGCTACCCTCCGCCTCCTCCTTCGCCGCCGTCGCTCTTGATCCCCTGCCCGACGAAAAATGCGGCTCGACAGTTACCGTCGCCGCCGCCGGCTGCTCTTCCCCTCTGTTTCCTCCGTGATGATCATCACCTCCTCCTTCTCCTTCTCCTTCTCCTTCTTCATCGCCTTCCGCCACCGAAACGGCGAGAGCGTCGGCCGCCATCTCCGTCAGGTCGGCCGCCACCCTCCCCGCCAGCCCGGCGCCCCCGCCACCGATCGCGCCTGCAACCTCCTCGCCCGGAGAGGACGACGTCTTCCTGCCGCCGCCGCCGCCGAGCAGCCCCCGGATCCCGAACCCGCTGCGGACGGCGCCGACCACCCCCCCCGCGGCGCCCCCCACGGCGCCCGCCACGGCGGCCCCGACACAAGCCGGC